TCAGTATGCTGCTAATAAAAGAGATTTTAGTGATTCTTCCAAATGATGGTTTGGGGAGGCAGTTAGAAGCCATGAAAGACAAAAACTGTTTTGCTGGTTTTACTCATCTATCAGCAGGACTTACTAAAATCCTGTTTTAAGGTCGCTGGCAGCTGGATCCTGCACCCTCCAAGCCTGACTATTTGGGAACTTGGGAGAGTTCTTGCCACCCAAAGAAAGGTCATATCACTTACCCTTTAAAACCTGAGTGAGTCAATGCCATTAGCTTTGTGTATCCTTTGTCTCCACCCAGCATTATTTTGTGGAAAGAGACTAGGACAAAGAATCTGGCTAAGAGGAAGCATGCAAAAATTACTGGTTAAGATGAAGTTATGAATGGAAAGAACCCAACTGTCCACCAACTGATGAATGGAGAAACAAAATGTGATATATCCATATAATCATGAATATTTTTCAGCCATAATAAGGAATAAAGTTCTGATGGGTATGACAACATGGATGAACCTTGAAAACACGCTAAGTGAACGAAATGAGACATAAAAAGCCACATATCGCATGATTCCATTCATATGAAATGTCCAGAATAGGCAAATTAAAGACAGCAAGAAGATCAGTGTTTCCCTAGAGCTGCCAGGAGGGGGGAAATGGGCAGTGACTGCCAATGGGTACAGGTTTTATTTTGGTGATGAAAATGTTCTGGAATGAGATAGTGGTGCTAATTATACAATCTTGTGACTATACTAAAACCCACCGAAATGTACACTTTAAAAGGATGGACTTTTTGGTATGTGAATTGTATCTCAAAAAAAGATCAAAAAAAAAAAAAAAAAAAAACAAGCTGTGGCCCAACCAATGTTATCACTGCTCTTAGAATAAACTTCGCTTTTAAACACAACATGCAAGGCCCTCATGACCTGGTCCCTGCCTATCCCTTCTCAACAAACAAGTAAAATACATAGTATGTCAGATGGTGGTAAGTTCTATGGAGAAACAACAATGAAAAAAGGCTAGAACAAGGGATGAGACAATTCTGGTGACAGGGGGTTTGTTATTTAAATAAAGTAGTCAGGAAAGGCCTTCCCGATAATGTGACAATAGGCCTGAAGGAGGCAAGGAAATGAGCAATATATATTTATTAAGTGTTTGATCTGCACTTTGTTCACTCTACTCCAGCCAAATCAGCCTTCTCTCTGAACCAGTGTTCTTTCTCCCCTCTGGGTCTGGACCTGGCTTCCTTCTACCTAAGATGCCCCCCAACCCATTCTTCTTGTGATTAACTTCTACTCCTGCAGTTCCTGGAAACAGCAGGAACAGATGTGGAGTGAAGTGATTTGTATCATCAAGGCGCAGTTTAGAGGTCACTTCCTCAGCCTTCCCTGACACTCCCCCAGCCCTCTCCCCTAAATTCCTTCCAAAGCTCCACGGATAGTACTTTACAGTACTTGTTTCAAACTGTAACTAAGTTTTTGAATTATGGGTCATTCTTAACGTCTGATTCCCTCCAGACAAGCCCTGTGACGGCAGGGCCCTGACGTATCCCCAGTGCCTAGCACCGCGCCTAGCACATAATAGGCTGGGAGGGGTGGGAGTCCTGGATTCAAAGCTGGGCTCAACACAAGGTAACTGCACTCAGGAGGTGAGGCCCACTGTCATTTCTGTGCGACCCAGATAATTGCTGCTTGATTGACTGGCCGACCGACCAACCAGCAGCGAGGGCTGTAGTCTCTCTGGGCTGCCTCGGCGCGGAGTCCCCGACCCCACACACTTAGGACCCAGTAGTGAGGCTCAGGGTCACTAGACCTCGAGCCCCCAGTCCCCAACAGCGCATTTCCAACTCTGAGGCCCGACCTGCAGGTTCCGGGTGATAAGGTGCAGCTTCTCTTCAGGGCTCGGAGCGTCCCCCATGACTCCGTCGCCCCTATCTCCCGCGCTCAGCCCGGCACCGCGCCGCTTCCTCGGTCGCCGCCGCCGCCGCGTGCCGGGAACTGTCACGAGGGCGCAGGTAGGTTGCATCAGCTGAGCTCGTCGCTCGGCTTCCTCGGCCTGAACCCTTAGCCTAAGAGCGGACAGGAAAGAGTCAGGAGCAACTGAGAGTCGAGCGGGTCGATGAGACGGAAAAGGGGCGGAGCCAGTAGGCAGGCTAGGCGGCACAGAGGGCGGGGTTGCGGCGTCTGCGCGGGGCACAACCCCTTGAGGGGCGGGGCGATTTCCTGCCAATCACTGCCTGTTTGCCCTCCCCCCTGCGCTGGCCCGGCTGCCTCGGGGTGGGGGAGGTCGGGGAGGGGGCGATAAAATGGCGCAGGGGGCGGAGTGAGGCGCAGTCTTTCGCCCAGGCTTCGGCCCCGCTTCCGGAGGTGAAGAGCGGGAGGGACGAGGGGGTTTGCGTTCCCGGCTGGGAGGGGGATGGGGGCGCCTGTTGCTTCTCCAGGGGGCCATACATGCCCGTCCACCCCGTTGAAGGGTTGGGAGGCCTTCGCCCTGCTGGGAGAGGGCTGGTTGTCGTTCCTGAGGTGATGGCGGCGGGAGGGGGAGTGTCCCTGCGCCCCACCTCCACGTCGGCGGGCGGTAGATGCCCCTCACCCTGCTGAGGAAGAGGGAGGCCGTCGGGTCACCTGCGAGGCGGGGAGCGCTGTCAGTCTCCCTGCCCAGTGGGGGTGGGGGAGGATGGGTGTGTTAGGTAGGTTGGGGGTGCCGCTTCCCTTGCCCCACTTGGGGGGAACTGTTGCTAGGGAGAAGATTTTCCCGCCGCGCCTTGAGGGTGGGGGAGGGAGAGGATGACCCACCCCTTGGGCTGGCGGGGCCTCGGTCCCACCGAGGTGTGGGTGTGTGTGGCTACCCTCCGGATGAGTGGTGCATCTCGCAGGCCTGTTGAGGGGTCGGTTTGGCCCTTGCGGGGGGAGGGGCGGGGAGCCAGCCCGCGCTTCTCCCGCCTTCCGCGGGGTGGCGGGAATTCTCGATGTTTTCGGGGGAGGGAGGAGGGAAGTGCGAAGGTCCGGCCCCGAGGGCGATGCAGGGCTGAGGCCGTCGCATTTCTGGGGGAGAGCAGGGGGCAGCCCAAGCAGTATCCTACGAAGGGTGGACATGGGTCACCCTTCTTCCTGGCTCTCGGGACTGGAGGTGTCACCAGTTCCTTCCTGGGAGGGAGGGAAGGCAGCTGGCACCGCAGGGTGGGCCCCAGAGAGGGGAAAGAAGTGATTGGATTGCCTACCTGCTGATCTCCAGTTTCTTGTGGATTTGTTAGAGGCTGCAAGCTTTAGCTATCCTGTCTAAATTAAAACATTTTCTTTTTAAAAAGAAACCTGTTGCTGTAGCTTAGTAATACTTAGTTTCTATGACCCTGTGGAATGAGAATCCTGGAATCCATATCTAGTGAAATGTTAACCTAAAGCAGAAATTTCCAGCCCTAGGTTTGTTTTTGAGTCCTACAGTATTTCCATTTACTTCAAAGGAAGTTGCAGAATTCTTACAGATTATTTCAGTTCACTTTGATTTTAAGTGTTAAATGCCCATTTTACGGAGTGATAAAGCCTAGTGAGTGCCTTTTGTGCTGTGTGCTGCACACGTATTGCCTATTGGGGAAGGTTGGAAATCAAAGGCCTGTCCCTTGGAAATAATCTTTGCCCTTGGCCATACCTATCAGATCTAGCTTGGTAATGGTCTTGGTTTTAGAACCTTGAAAGAGGGATATAGGGTTGTGTCTGGTGTTGCAGTTTTAGTGGCCTGAATAAAATAAAGGCTTTGTGCTCTAAGGCAATAGGTTTTCTTAGGTACGATAAAAATAGAAAGGGAACCAGTTCCTGAGGTTGCAGCTAGGTGGTTAGAGAACAGAGCAAGGGGGTGGTAAACTGAAGTGTGAAGAAGGGGGTGGACAGGTGAGAGAGATGTGGAAGGACAGAATAGGGTCACAGGAGGGATGGGGAGCAGAGGAATTAAGAGATAGACTTGGGAGATGGGAAAAATATTCTTCCCTTAAAAATAAAGAGATCCTCATTTTAGGTGGAAGTTACAAAACAAGTGCCAAGAAAGGCAGTTAATGGTAGAATGGCAGACAGGCGCTAAGGCTGTCTTGTGGAAATTCACTTTAGACCTTAATTTTATCTGAGATTTCCCCCCTTTTGCAAATTCATTAAATATCAACTTTAATTAGTATAGGGCTTTTAGGTTTAGAGTGCTTTCATAAACATCCCCTCATTTGATCCTCATGATAATCTGTATTTGAAGATAACGGCATGTAATTGTATCCCCCATTTTTCAGATGAGTGTTCTCATCTGAATTGAGGTTCAGAGACTTTTAAGTGACTTGTGAGGTCTCTGAATTTAGGTCAGTCCCTCTTCTGTTACTTCAATAACTATTAATTCAAGGGATTTGCCCGATATTTCAGATGTCCACACAGCCTAGTCTTTAATTAATTCAGTGGCAATATGGTTGAATGCTCGGTTAAACTAAAAGAAATTAGAGTATACTAGATAATTTCTAACAAGCAAGGACCTAGGGGAAGTTCTCAACTAGATTAACATTCTTTCCTACCATTCCTGTGCTTCATTAAGACCTCTTTAGGGGTCAGGGAGGTGATGATGGTGGGATGAAATAGAAACTGTAGCCACTACTTAGCTTTTCCATTGTGCTTGTAGTACTCGAAGTGCTTTAGTTCACGGTCTCATTTAATTTTGGCAACAACACTATGAGGTAGCTACTGTGATGGTCCCTGTTGTATAGGAGAGGACATTTGAAACTACAGAATGTAATCATTGTCTTTCTCTACTGACTTCTTAATTTAAAACTATATTTTCTTAAAGATTTTATTTATTTATTTGACAGAGAGATAGAGCAGGAACACAAGCAGGGGGAGTGGGAGAGGGAGAAGCAGGCCTCCCACCAAGCAGGGAGCCCAATGCGGGGGCTCAATCCCAGGACCCTGGGATCATGACCTGAGCCGACGGCAGACGCTTAACAACTGAGCCACCCAGGCGCCCCTAAAAATAATTTTATTATTAAATATTCTAAGCATATAAAATGTATAGGAAGTAACATAATGATACCATTATCACGCCATTCAGCTTTATTTTATCGATGTACGCAGGCTGAATCCGAGTACTCAGAGGGGGTCTCTCAGATACCAGCCAACCAGGGTTCTTGGCTTTGTGCAGAATAGGAATCAAATGGGAGCCAGGAGGAAGCGAGAGCAGAGTTCATTGAATAGTGTGATAGAGTATAGCAGATGGAGTGTCTGGGACACTCCGAAAATGAAAAGTAAGTCGCTCTGTCACTTGAGGTTATGGGTTTATAGTGGAAAGGGGTCCAGGGTACATGTGCCTTCAGGAACCCAGGGAAGCCTCCGATCAAAGGTGAGTGTAAGGTGAACAATAGGTGTTATTCCATAAATCACTGAAGGTAGGGGATATCGATGCCAGTGTCAACCAAGGTTTGTTTTAAGCTAATGTCTGAGAACATGTTTGGGATCTGGTTCTTCTTATATGTTATCAGGTGTTTAAGGCCTAGGATGGAACTCAGAGAATGATTAACTTTCTTATCTCCCCTTGGAGTGGCAACATAGCTTCTTTGTTTTACTCAGATGCAAAATATAGAAGATGAGTAAACGGGACTTAGCAGAAAAACAGCAGAAATGGAATCTTTCTAAAATGGTTTCCCTGTCTCATTATGTTGCCCTTTATTTTTTTAAGCCCCAACACGGGGCTTGAAGTCACAACCCTGAGACCGAGACCTGAGCTGCTATCAAGGGTCGGTTCCTTAACCTACTGAGCCACCCAGGCACCCTGCCATGTATATATTTTTAAAGTAATTTCTATGTGCCCGATGTGGGGCTCAAACTCACAACTCCCAAGATCAAGAGTCATAGGCTCTTGACTGAGCCAACCAGGCCCCCCTTGTCATATTTTTTATAGGTCTTTTTTGTTCATTTTTTTAAAGAAATAAAACATTATAGATAGAATTGAAGGTACTCATGCCCCCTTGCCATTTCTTTTCCCTCTCCACTACCAGAGGTAACCACTGTCTTGAATTTTGTGCTTCCTATTCCCATGCAAGTTTTTATAATTTAATGATATATGTATCCATACACTATATGGTATTGTTTCTCTAACAGATTGCAAGGGGAAAAAAAGATGGGGAATATATAGATTAAAATACAAAACATATCGACCAGTTGCCTTGTGTGGACTTATTGGATACTGATTTTTTTTAATCTTTAAAAATAATTTATAAAATAATTGGTTACCCAAACCATATATTTTATGGTAAGGAATCCTTGTTATTTACAGATGAAATGATGTGATGCCTGGGATTTGCTTCAAAATAATCCCATTAAGGGGCGCCTGGGTGGCTCAGTTAGCTAAGCGGCTGCCTTGCGGCTCAGGTCATGATCCCAGGGTCCTGGGAGCCCAGTGTGGGGCTCGAACTCAGCAACCGTGAGATCAAGGCCTGAGCTGAGATCAAGAGTTGGACACTAAACTGACTGAACCACCCAGGTGTCCGGATTATACATTCTTTAAGGATGGAAACCATGTCTTTATTTTTTAAGAAGTCCTATAGAAACCAGTTATCTTGCTCAGTGCTGTGTGATGATAGTAGCTCAGAAAATGTTTTCTGAAAGAATGCATGAGCTAAAGCTAAAATTCAGGAAGTGGAGGGAAAGCAGGGTGTGGGGAAATTCACAGAAGGCTAATAAGGAATTTTCCAAATTATTGAGTTTAGTGTTTAAGCATTTCTTATAGCTTCTCAGATGTTGAAATGATATATGAAATAGAAGTTTTTTTTATCACCTTTCCCATCTAGAAAATAATTTAGATTAGGTCCATCACTGTTTAAAAGCTAGGTTTTAATTATATAAGTAATTTACAAATATTCAAGTAGAAAAGTAGAATGACACTGAAGTCTCCCCTTGATGTCTCTTTGTCCCCTCATAGGTTATAACAGTCATCAGTTTTGTGTTTATATTTTTCTGGATCTGTTCTTTGCATTTATATATAAATTGAAAATGAGACTTCGGCATGTGTGATCATGATTAACTTGTAGATCTTGGTGGAATCTTAAGACATTGCCTCGTCCCTCTTCTCCATCCTGTCCCCATTTTTTATAAATGAGGAAACAAGTCCAAATGGTTAAGTGGCTCACCCAAATTACTACAGCTGGTTAGTGACAGAACCAGGACTACAAGCAAGGTCTCAGTACTCCCAAGCCAGTATTCATCTTACTGGAGCAAATGATATTCTTAAGAAAGTACAAAATTGTTGGGAGGAACAAAACTAGTTCCTTAGTTGCATAATTTTTCCTCTAAAGGTTTTTCTTTGATGTTCTTGACTCAAAATCCAACTTTCTGGTATTTAAAAAAAAAATCAAGATCAAAATTAATAGGTAGAGTACCTTAAAGCATAATACAGTTGACTTTATAATTAGCAGAGTTGAAAGTGATGAGAAGATCCTCTAATTTTCTTTGTGCCTGCAGGAAGGTGGGAGTCAATCATTTTGACAAGTCTCCTGAAAGGAACAGCTAGCGGGAGCTGAAACCTTTTTCCATTTGGTCTCGTGGCAAAGAGATCACACCAGCAGCTCCACACAGTATGGAAGACAATTCTTATATTCTTAAAGTGTTGTGTTTTTTTTTTTAATTTTAGAAGTTGTACATTTGTTTTTTTTAAAGTATAAACCGTGAGAATCCAAACATTTTACATAATATATATTTGTTTTATTTGTATGTTGTGGATATTATTCCATGATAGTATATATTGATCTACTTCATTATGTTTTAAATAGTTGTAAAGTATTCCATAGTATGGATGTACCATGATTTCACTGAGCAATTCTGGTGATGGACATTTAGGTTGTCTCCAATATTTGGTGCTTTTGAATAATGCTGCTTTGAACAGCCTTACAAATGTATCCATGTGCATTTGTATAGGTACTGCTGCAGGAAAAATTCACAGAATTGAAATTGTGGGGTCAAATGGTATTGCAAATTACTCTCCACAAAATATTGTGCTGACTTACACTCTTTTATACTGATAGTGTGTGAGGATGCTTATTTCCTATATCCTTATCAACTTAGATATTATGGCATCCTAATTTTCACTATTTTGTTAGGAAGAAAATATGTCACTGTTCTAATGTTTCCATGATCCTGGTAAGGTTAAATATCTTAAAATTATTTCTCATGTTGCAAGTCACAGTGCAAAGAATTCAAAATATCAGGACACCACCACTGTAGAACAGATAGAAGTTGATATAGGGGTAATTCCTGTTCCTCAGTGCAATTGCCTCTTATTTTTCCAGATATGACGTGCTCACTTGTGCCCTCTGAGCAGTCTTCTGGAACTTCTCTCTTGCCTAAAGACAATGCCCCATTTTCTTGGGGTTCCTTGGATGACGATGGATTGGATGACTCCTTGCTGGATCTGTCTGAGGGAGAAGAAGATGATGGCCATTTTAGTTTCACAGAGGAAGATATTCAGGAGCTCTTGAAGGATGATGACCTTAAAGATGATAGCAGGCGTGTTGAGAAGGGAGGGAAAGGGAGTCAAATTCTATTTGATACTTCCCAAGAGAAAAATTCATTGTGTAGCTTGGGACCAGTAGCTGAGACCCCTGGCCTCTTGAAACTACCTCAATTAAGTACATCAGTTGGTCATGGACCAACTCCTACTAAACCATTAAACGGACACTTTGCACTAGAAAAGAATCCTATAAAAATAACAGTTGTTACACCGTTTGATCCAACAGTTTGTGATGCTGTGCTTGATAAGGACAAGACTGATTCATCCAAAGATACTGAAAAACCCTCCTCCCTTGGGGAAGAGATGAGAAAAGATGGTCTTAGCCCAAATGAGAGCAAACTCTGCACTGAGTCTGAAGGGATCAGTCCCAGTAATTCTGCTTGGGATGTGCCCCCACTCTCTTCTCCTTCAGACAATGACTTTGAACAAACTGTGTCTGATAAAAATATATCTGACAGTAAGAGAACTACACCTGTGTTCTCTCAGATCTTGGACCATTCAGAGACTCCGAATACGGGGTCTTCCTGGAAAAATGGATCAAATAAATCAAATTGTGAAGTGAGGTTTCCGGTTGTTTCCAGTTCATCAAACAAAGTAAGTATATTTTTTCAACGTAAAGAGAAAAATTATTTTCATTCACAAGCTGTATAGCAGAGCTTTGTATTCATCAAACAAATTGGGAGTTGAATCCTGACTAGAACTGTGACCTTGGTAAAATTCTTTAGCCTCTCTGTTTCCTCATATTTCTTATCTATAAATTGTACTAAATAATACTTCACAGGGGGCACCTGAGTGGCTCAGTCGGTTAAGCGTCTGCCTTCGGCTCAGGTCATGATCCCGGGGTCCTGGGATCGAGTCCCGCATCGGGCTCCTTGCTCTGCTGGAAGCCGGCTTCTCCCTCTCCCACTCCCCCTGCTTGTGTTCCCTCTCTGACTGTGTCTCTCTCTGTCAAAAAAATAAATAAAATCTTTAAAAAAAAATACTTCACAGTATAGTAAGGATTAATGAAATAATGTATTTATAGTAACTGGTATATAATATTAAATTACTACTTATTGAATAATTACTAAGATAATGATGATTTTACTATTATTTTTCCCTTCTTTGGGTTTCAGCTTAAGTCTCAATCTTTGGTTGCCACGCTAAATGAGATACAGCACCTGATCAGCCACTGAAGAGCTGAAAAATCTTGGGCAATTTATCTAACCTCTTTGAGCCTGATTCCCTGTCTATCAAATGGGCATGCCACTTAGGGTTTCTTCCTTTTCCTTAAAATTACAGTCACTATCTCATTTAAAGTATCTGTCATAGTGCCTGGTACACAGGAGGGTTCAGAAATATGCCTCTGTAGCCTTTATTAAGAATAAAAGAATATGTCCATCAATAGTGTTTTTAGCTTTTTCCTTATAATTATCTTTCCTTCTGCTCTGAACGAAAGCAGGATGTTCTTGACAAGGATTCGGGGAAGCTGAAAGTCAATGAGAGAAGACTAGGCAAAGTCATTCCTGTTCTGCAAGCCAAAAGAAGGTAACAGTATGATAATATTCTGGTTTCTATTTGTTCTCTTCAATTTCTTTCTTCCCCTCCTCAATTACCCCTTAGTGTGGAGTAAAACTATGTACCAGGTGTAGGCATACTTTTAAATTCTGGGACCACTAACATGTAGCTCTGTGACCTTGGGCAAGTCAAATGATCTGTGACTTCAGTTTATTTGTCAACAAATGAGGCTAATGATGCCTTTTCTGCTGCCTCACAAGGTTATTTTGGGAGTAAAAAAGACATATTAGTGAAAGCACTGTATAAATGTAAGATTTCTTTTCCTGTGCATCGGGAAGCCTGGTCACAGGACAGGAGGTTAGAATAATTTTAACACAAATATTAAAATACAATTATGTAGAAAATCCTTTTGTCATCTCTCCCAACTTGAATGCAACTGTCCTTGGGGAAAAATTATAGTGGAGGTTGTGGATTTGGGTCACCTTTTCAATCTATTCTCTTGTTGCCAGGAGATGGCAGTGTCTCTACATGGGCCTTCTCAATTAGCAAAGCTATTTTTTAGGTTGAGTCAGATTGGCTTCCTTACAATGAGATTAAAAAAAATTTTTTTGATTATACAGATATTAAATTTTTTCTGCTTTAAATTTTTTTTGAGATTTTATTTATTTATTTGACAGAGAGACACAGCGAGAGAGGGAACACAAGCAGGGGGGAGTGGGAGAGGGAGAAGCAGGCTTCCCACTGAGCAGGGAGCCCAATGTGGGGCTCGATCCCAGGACCCTGGGATCATGACCTGAGCTGAAGGCAGATGCTTAACGACTGAGACACCCAGGTGCCCCTGCTTTAAATTTTTTATTTATTTTTATTTTTTTAAGATTTTATTTATTTATTTGACAGAGAGAGAGAGGGAGAGCAGCGCACAAGCAGGGGGAGCGACAGGCAGAGGGAGAGGGAGAAGCAGACTCACCGCTGAGCAGGGAGCCCAATGCAGGGCTCCATCCCAGGACCCTGGGATCATAACCCAACCCAAAGGCAGACGCTTAACTGACTGAGCCACCTAGGCGCCCCACTGCTTTACATTTTTTTAAATACATTAAAAATATGGCTAACGTCCCCTTTGACTACTGTCCCTAACCCCAGTTTTTTGTTTTGTTTTGTTTTGTTTTGTTTGCATAATTGAGGGAAACTTTGTGACTTACTTAAAGTGGAAATTATACCAAGGAGCCAAGTCAGGCTACTTGGGGCAGTTATGTACTTACTATCTCAATATTCTCATCCACTGACTCCACAGTTATCAGTGCAGTCAGGATGAGCAAGGGCCAGACATTGTTCTTGCCAAGGTCACCAGTATTCTAATTGCCACATCCAGCTGGTTCTTTTTTTTTTTTTTTTAA